AATTACAGTTCTCCTGCCTCAGTCACTCAGAGTGCTGAGATTATAAGTATTCACCATGACATGTAGTTTATTAAATGATTACTAAAGCAGCACATATTATCAGGTCTGAAGTTTCTTTTGAAAAGTGAATGTTAGTATTTTTCATGTCCTCATGCTCTAAAGTAAATGTATGAAGGAATATTCTTTGGACCCCTAAGAGCATAATTTAATTGCATTCCATTTTACAAGCATTTTGGCTTAATTAGGGTCTAGACATGAGTATAAATGATTGCTGTTTACAAAGTCAGCTTTCATGTGTAAACATTTCTGTTGATTGTAGAATTAAGACATCCAGATATTTATAAACAATTTAGAATTCAAAATGTCAAGTCATGTTGCTCAAATTTAATAAAAATAGATCTAATATAGTTACCAGGAAAAACCTTATCTTTCTTTCCTCTAAATCATTTTGTACATGGAAAAATCCTAAACTGAAAGGTATGGTGGTGTTTTAAACTGTATTTTATTCACTAAATGAAAGTGTACTGTTGATTTGATTGAGAAGAAATTGAAAAATCAACTGTTTTAGAAGATGGCTCCAGCATGCTTAGCCAGCCCTATGGAGAAGACAACACTCTTGGGTTAAGTGTGTGGCATTCACACAGTGGTTGAGAGATTTGTTGAACATCTGTTACATGCAAGGCAGAAGAGTTTACAAGTATTATGTTATTATCATTAAATATTTACAACCATGTCACAAGGAGAGATTATAATGTCTGGTACTTTACGGATGAGAACAATCCAAATTCAGAATGGTCAGTACAAGCTGGGGTTCAAGCCATCTGTTTGGTCCATGGGCTAAGCTCTCAGTGCAGCAGCACACTTCCTGTAAGAAATAAAATGCCGCTAAAAGAGCAGTATCCAGGCTGTGTCTGGGAGGACCCTAAAATGAAAGTTTACAGAAGCAGACACTAAATCATAGGGCAACATCAACCATATTCTAGTGCAGCACTTCACAAATTTAATATGCAAAGGAATCCCCTGAGAATGAAGGAGTCTGTTGAATTGCAGAGTAACATTCAGTAGATCTGGGTCAGAGGCTGACAGCTCTCTATTTTACCAGTTCTCTGGTACATCAGGGCTGCTGGTCCTCCAATCACTTTAAGTAGCCAGGTGCAATTGCACCAAGAGTGGTTCAGCACCACGGACAGCAGAACAGGTGGCTGCAATCACATTCTGTCATTTCAGCCAGTCTCTACTGTCCCTGAGTAGACTCGTAAAGCACACAGCCAGAGTAATTTGAAAAAGTCTTTCTTGAGTTGTTGTCAGCCATGAGGTGATCAATCATGGTTTGAACAAGGATGTCTCCCGAAGTCCTCATTGCCTCAAATGCAGGGATTGTGGAAGGTGGTTGAAACACGGGGATCACATAACTGACTTGCTGTCAGAAGATGGGGCCTTTTAAGAAGAGTTGGCACGTGGAAGTGTGACCTGGAATGGCTTACTTCCCTCTTCTGTTCCTCTCTTCTCACTCAGATACACAACCTGAGCAGCCTTCTTTCAACCAGACCCCTCCACAATACCAGTTCTGTGTTTAAGACAACAGTTCTTGGACAGAAAGTTCTGAAACTCTGGGTCAAAATAAATGTTTTTTTTTTTTTTTAATTCACCTTCCAGGTGTAGGGGTATGTTGGATATTTTATCCCAGAGACCAGAAAAATGACAAAGACATGATCCTTCCATTCACACAAATATACATCTTTCTAGAGGACAGAATAGGGCCTTCAGAGAAAACATGTGCTTCTTCCAGGATTTTTAAATGATATGTTGTCATAACCCTCAGACACAAGGAATCTAATTTGGCTTATAACTTAATAAGGAAGTTAATACTGAATTTATAAAGTATTTAAGTAGCAGTATTGGGCTCAATATTATAAACTATCTATTTCAGAGGGATTAGCACTCTCACTTGCACATTTGATAAACAGAAATTAGTAATCTTTTTGCTGCTAAGTCTACTCTGCTATCAGTCAATTGCACATAATGAAAAAGAAAATTGACAAAGTGCTCTTCAAAAATCACAGTGAAATAGAAAATGACCTTAATTCAAAAATGCATTTTCATTATCTTTTGCTTTCTGTAGCATTTCATGCACCTGTCTTACTTTCAGCATGAAACCAGGGAGATCACTTCCCTTTTTGCTTTTGCTCTTCTTTACTCCTTACCTTGAAGCAACAGCCATGGCTATCAACCATGGTACCTTGGGGACTTTAAGACTTAAATCAATTTTCTGCACAGCTGGAGGAAGATAATTCAGGTAAAATTTTCACAAACAATTCCGCTTGTTTTCCATTGAAGACAGTTTTAATTTTCTGATTGAGAGCCAGACTTGGGACACTATGGGTTACATTCTAGCTAGAAATAGGGTATACACAGTTAAGGAAACGCCACTGCAATCTACTAGGCTTACATTTATAGTGTGTCAAGAATGACCATGTTGGTCTTTATAATCGGGAATTTTTCTCAAGTTAATTCTTGGTTGAGTCACTGACATCCAAATTCAGAATAAAGAGATCTCTATCACTGGCCATAAGAATATGCTCATTTCTTTGAACCTTATTAGGTTGAAAGGGTTAGCTGTGTTATAACATCAAACAAGTTTGGTGTGTGTACATATGTATGGGTGTGTTACTCATTTTGAAATATATGTGTAGAGGACCTATATGACTAATAAGAACACACACACATATATGCATATATATATATATTTCCATGAATATTATAACATTTTAGAATAACTGCTTTCTTTCTTTACTTAAAGAATGGAGGAAATGAAATTCAAAGTTCTGTGGTTATTAGGGCCTTAGATTATAGACACTCCCTCCCTCCTATGTACTCTTTGAAGATGAGCTTATTCCAGTGGAAATCTACACATCTCAGAAGGACACAGAAAAAAATACATATGGAGAGCAATGTGGCTTTTGACGGTGAGACTAACAGTTGATTCTCAGTCATTATTTCAAAAGTGGCTATGGAGCTAAATTCAAAATCCATTACTGGCATGGCATACTCACTGGGCTGTTCTCAGATGGAAAAATATTGGCCATTAGCAAAGATTAAATAATTTACCTGAGCTTGCCTTCAGCACTCAATGCTAGGGAAGGATTTATAACTGATGTCATGCAAATTGCTGCGCTAGTGAATTGCAGATATGCCTCTATTTCTAATTGTCTTTTGCCGATCCCATCTAGTGCATCTTTCTTCCTTTTTTTGGTTGAATCCCTGTAATCTAAGTTACAGTGAAAAAACCCACTGTAAATGGCCATTCGAGTGGCTCGTTTCCTCTTCCATTTCTTTTTAAGGAATGTTCAACCACTCCATGCCTAAAACGTCTAGATGACTATTTTGAATGGCTCACTGCCTGTTTTACATAGGGTGTCATGTTAAATAATCTCTCTGGACACTATGAGCCTATTATTCTTTCTTGGAAGATAGTAAGGGCTACAGGCTGTGTCGTCTCTCAAGAGCTTTGTACAGACATGTGGCTCCGGGGTATTCTCGTAAAAGGTAGAGGTAACAACTAAAAGGCTTCCTTTGATGAGATTCCTCGAGAAATGCAAAGCAACCCAAAGAGAACCGAGGAGCTGTTGTGAGCTGAAGATTACCAAGGGGAGCTCCGGGTGGAATAACATTAGAACTGTAGACGGTCCACAAGGTGTCATTTCTTCACCTCGCTCCAACTTCTTTAGTTTGCTTTCCTTCTAGTTTTATTTTTCTGAGTCTTCACTCTCAGGTGCGATTTTGTTTTAACGTGGATTTTTTTTTTCATGAACCCCCCCCCCAACACACACACCAGGGTTCAATATATTTTCTATGTCCAGAAATAGATTTTTCTTGAAAATGAGTCAGAAGCCCCTCCATGGAACCACACACACACACACACTCTACCACAAAACAGTATTTGCCTTCTTGTCCATCACTTGAAAATATCCAAGGGAAGGACACACAGGTTCATCACACGGCATACAGCGGTGGGTGTGCGTGGCTGGGCTGCTTGGCAGGGTGCTTATCCAGGGACCCAGAGTTTTGCATAAGACTTGACGTGCTGGGCTGACCTCCCCGCACATAGTTCTCACGCTGGTCGGTCCGCAGTTCGAAGTAACTAGCATACTGCTTCAGTGTATGAACACAGTAGTTATTACTCATCGGTATTTGCCGGCAAAAAACAATAACCAGAGCCTCTCTTCGGCGCTGACGTTTGGAATTCAACACCAGCGTAGCTCGTCTGAGCCCCTCCTATCCGATTCGCTCCTGTCCCCGCCCTCTACCTCGCCCCCGTTTGCTTGCTGCTTCTTCGCAGGAATCGGACCAGGCGGGGTCGCAGTAGTGTCCGCTCCAGGCCGGCCCGGGCCGGTTCCTCGCGCAGTCCCGGCGAAGCCGCCAGGGGGACCCCGACCGCCCGGGCGGCGCGGATCGGAAAGCGGCGAGGGGCGTGGAGCCGAGGGTCGGCGGCGCCTGCTCAGAGCCAAGCAGGATCGCCGGGCTCCCCGCGCTGCAGGTTCGCATCTGGAGCCGGTTCCCGGCCGCTGCCGGTCGTGGGTGTGTCCGCCTCGGCCCGGAGAGGAGCGCCGCACGCGGGACTTCTTCGACAGAGCCCGGTGCGGTCCGCGGGCTTTCGTTCTTAACTTGGCGCCCGCGGCGGCGGCGGCGGCGGTGGCGGGGTCGGGTCAGGGTCGCACCTGGCCGGGTCCCCACCCCGGCGACGCCAGGAGCATCCCCGCGTGCGCGCGCCGGTCAGGGGCTAAGGGAGGGGGCGCTGCGCTGGGATCCGTGGGGAGCGGAGCGGAAAACTTTGCCTCTCGGTCGGGGTCCCTTTGTCTCCCGGCGTCGCGGCCGCCCCCGCCTCGCCCGGGGCCCCCGCAGCCTGCCCGCGCCCCGCACCGCCCCCGCGCCTGACGCAGCCGCCGCCCGCCGGGATGGGGAGCGAGGGCGCCGCGTCGCGCCGAGACCCCCGCTGACGCCGCACCCGAGCCCCGCGGCCGCCGGAGGAGCCCCGCGCACAGGTGAGGGCGGGGTACGCGCGGAGTTGGGCTGCTGAAGTTTGGGAGTCCTCCGAGCCCGCCGAGCCCGCCGCCCGTTCCGACTCCTCTTCGGGGCGGCCCGGGCAGCGGAGCTTGGAGCGCGGCCGGGTCTTCAGCGGGCGGGCCGGCGAGCGGCGCCTCCTTTGTCCCGGCCCGGGGTCGGCGCGCGGCTCGGCTTCAGAGCGCAGCGCTGCGCAGGTGGTGCCGGCGGGTGCGGTCACCCGTGGAGCGGAGAGGACAGAAATCCAGCGCCCTCTGGTCCCCGTGTAGGTGCGTCCTAAGGAAAGGACTGGGCTTGCAGGGTTTATTTCCTGAATCGTTCTTTTGCGGTGTTTCATTATTGGAGCTCACGCTTCCTATTGTGTAGGTGCAAAGCTCTGCGTGTATTTACTGCACTTAGAGAAGTTGTGTGCGTGTGTGTGCGCGCGCGCAATAAAAACAATTCATTGCTCAGTATCAGTTATCTCTGATAATGTCAGAGGGAAAGGTAGATGCCTGCCCTTAAATTCCATATATCTATATGTATATCCATGTATCTATATCTATATCTGTATCTATATCTATTTATCTATCTATCTATACTGGAGAAATTGGAATTGGCCCCTGTAAAGTGTAAACCACAGCACAGTTTTGGCGTGCTACAAAACTGAATGTGTTCGGCTCACCTTGTCTTTTCCACCGCAGACCTTCGGAAGTGTTTATGAACAACAACAGCCTAGAGACTAGTTCAGAAATGGACAAATATTCTTAGTTTTCTTCGGTAAGGGTGTTGCCCTCTTCAGGTTTCGCTGGCATACGGAGTTCAGAGGCATGCCTTCTGGAGCGCTTCCTGCGCTCACTGCCCATGCCTTAGAAAGCTATTTCCTTTCATGGCTTGTCATTTCTTCAGTTACCCAGAACCACATAAAATGACCTTCAGTGAGTTATTTGGCTACTAACACTAGACCACATTACCATTTTGAGAAAAGCCGGTCACCTCTTGGAACTCTTTAAATTTTACTTTATTTTCCTACTGGTGTGTATCTGTACCAAGGCATCTGATTGTAGTTTCATGCTTTTCACACGCTCAAGCAGGCTTGTCGCTAACAGAAAATAATGCTTCAAATAAGTGGAGTCTGTAATTGAATGTTTTAGCAATTTAATGTTTTGAGATTTTACTATGAAAGAATGTATGCATTATTGAGCTCTTAATACTTTTGCTCTGACAGAGTCCTACTAGAGAGCGCATAACGATGGATTAATTTAGCTATAATTTGTAGCCCTGCCTGTAATTATCTTTGTATCTATCCTGGGAAAGCTTTTGGTAAAGGGAAATTTGATGCTTAGGAAATCTGTCTAATTTCTAGGCATTTTGCAAAGCAGTGCTTCACCTGTTGCTTTTGAGGCAGGTCTAGCTAAATAAAGCATCTGAAAACATCCTCAGTCAGAAAGGGCGGATCAACAATGGTCAGTTTCAAGTGGGATGGCTTCATTTGATTTAACTTAGAAGAATTTTTAGTGATGCCTTTGAATGCTCCAAGAGTTAGAAAGCTATATTTGGACTTGTGTAGCTTTGGAATTTTGACAATAGTTTACTGCACAGAGAAAGATAACTACTGACATACAAGGAAGTGGGTCTGAGCAAACTGGTTAAACTGATTACCATACGTACTGTTAGTATAAAGGAAAAGAAATTCAGACTGAGTTTACAGAAACAGATAGGACCAAAGCAATAAGCAAATGGCACCTTTTATGTTCTGAAACAGAACTAGAAGGTAAAAAATAGTAAGTCCTCCTAGGAAGTACTAAGCCTTCACAGTACTTACTAAACAGGATGCAAAACTTGAAAGAGGAGATAGTGTACAGACGCACTTCACATAGCGTTACTCTGCCTAAATAGGAGGTACTATGGGGAGTCTTTCATCAGGTGAACTAAATTTGGGAAAAAGATTTTTGTAGGGACAGAAAAACAAAGCTGCAATGAGATAGATCCTTCGTTGTAATACAGAATATTTGCAGTTCTGTCACGGATCTAGCTGCTTCTTCCTGGAATTAAAGTGTATTTTTTTCCCTGAATATCTGATACATGTTCACCCATGAAGGACGTTGCTTGGTGGGCACTTGCTGGGGTGCCTTGAATAAGGCAGGCCGCGGGGCGGGATCTGACCAACGGTTTTTCCAAATTTCAGAGAACTGGTACGGGCTGGGTACTGGTGCAGTGGGGCTTAAAGGCAGTGGATGGGGAGTCTGTCAACCTGACTCGATCTCTGAGTGTGTGGCCCTGCACAAGTTCCTTGAATGTCATAGTCTTTACTGCCCTCACATGTGAAGCAGAGACTTTGGGTTGGTGACATTCACTTTCTCTTAAAATGCTGTGTAAGTGAGTTCTGGTGGAATTGGGGACAGCAAGAAAGCAGAATGTGTGTGTCTGTGCGTGTGAGTTGCAATTCGCAAGGTCAGGTCTGGAGGGAGGCAGGATGGACCATGCGCGGGATGTAGGAAAAGGGTCTTGATAGGAAACAGCACAGGTCTGGCCCTAGGTGCCTGGCATATGATTGCTTATGCGAGCTGAGAGTATATAAAACAACAAATATCAAATTTCACTTGGTACTTGCTGGTTTTCCATGAATTTTCACAAATAATGGCAATTGATTTTCAGAACAACCCTCAGAGGTAATTAGAGCAGAAAGCTGGTGAAGCCAAGACTGGTACTGCAAAGCACGTTTGCACCCCTACGCTCCACTGCCTCTTTGCAGGATTTATAGAGATGGGAGAACTGCAGTGTGCTTTGGAAACCGAGAGTAAGCAGAAGACAGAGATTAGGTTGGCTTTGGGACTTGGAGGATGTTGAATCTCAGAGTACAGTTTTACGTTCTGAAAGACAGGAATCTTCCATTATGAGACCGAGACCTCCCAGACTCCCTGAATTTGGATTATTAGTGGTCGCTGTTGGGGCTCCCGTCCTGTTCCCTCTGACTTTATCTTCTTTTACCTCCCCAGCAGAATTTTAGGGATTTGATGGTCACAGAATCCTTGATAGGACTCTTCCAAGAGCTTTGAATGTGTCTAGAAGAATGAAGTAATTTACATTTCATATACAGGGGAGGAATTCTGAATTACTGCACTCTTAATTAGTGGGTTGTATTCTAGGCTCTGGATGTAGTTTGGAAACTTTGTCACCAAAGGTGAAATTCCAGAGGAGGTGTAGGAGTGTGGCGAGGTGTGAAGACGCAGATCTGCGCAGTCTACTTGCTGTACTCTCCTCACGCTGTCCTGGACATTAATTGCACCAAGGGTGATCAGATGCCCCACAGCATTGCTGTATGCCGTGTTCTTGTGGAAGGGAGTTATGATACTTTTCATTATAGGTGTAACTAACCTAATTTTATTTATTTATTTATTTATTTATTTATTTATTTATTTATTTTGTATTTTAGGGAAGGGCCTACAGGATATTCAGGGTGTCGCTACTAGATTGGACTCATAGTGATTTACCTGTTTACAGCCTCCCCAGAGCTGGGATTATAGGCACACACCACCACACCCAAGGATTGAGCTCCTAGCCCCTGTGCCTGCTTTCAAGAGCTTTAATGCACTGAGCTATTTGGCTGGCCCTGATGAACCTAAATATAACTAGCTTAAACAAGAAAGGTTCATGGGTTGATGCAAATGAAACACTCAAAGAGAACCTTGATTCAGTCATGACTAGAACCAGAGACTCATGGGACTTTTTTTTTCAGGATTCTGTCTCTTCATTTCTCAGCGCTACTTTTCTCAGGATCAATTTTCCTCTGATGTCCTCTTCATATGTACAAAGAAAGACCACTGTTCATATTTCTGGGGTGGCGAGATACCTCAGCGGACTAAGCACCTGCTTAGGCAAGCGCAAGGACTGGGGTTCAATTGGTGGCACCACATGCCAGGCTGACCTTGCCCCCGGGCAGCCAGCCACCGAGTCTGGGCATGGTGGTACGCATCTGTAATCCCGGGACTGGGGAGGCTGAAAACAGGAGGATCTACGAGTCCAAGCTGTGCAGTGAGACCTTGTAGCAAATACATGAAAACAACAACAACAACAACAACAACAACAACAACAACAACAACAACAAAACGATCTACGCCTAAGCTCATGAGGTAGAGTCCATAAGAAAGAGAGGTCCTGCTGCTTCCTGATCCTGTTGCTTCCTGACCCCGTTGATCCAGTTCTCATCGAGGGGTTCTGACTGGCCTGGCTTGATGGTCACTGTCTAACAAGACTGTTTCTGATAGTCTCGGCCTCAGTCATGTGCCCAGCCATGTGGTGGCGCCTGAGGAAACTGGGCTGATGCTGTTAATATCACACAGAGTTACGGTTCTCCAAGCAAATGATGCTGCCCAATAAACAGTGCACGCCACCAGATAGAAGGGCCGTGTCTGACGTAACGATGTGCAGTTAGCGCAGAGGCAGCTCAGGTGCTAGCAGGCCTCCAGTTCTCACAGGCAGACCCCTTCTTCCAACCAAGACAAAGGTCAGTGATGAAATAATGCCTTCCGGTTTGAACTCTGTCGGACGCAGCCTGGTTTACGCTGTGTTATTGACTGAGGAACTGATGATTTCTCCATGTCTGTGTGCTTTGAGTAAATACCTACATGCCTCATCTCCAGCCCACTGGTTTTGCTTTCAGAATCATGCCCCAATCCATGATCATGGTATTGGAGACTTTTATTTTGGGATTTCTAGAGTCAGGGAAATTTTTGAACAGGGAAGTGAAGTGAGGACCACAGAACTATTAAATTCATTAGATTTGTTGGAGGTGGAAGAGGGGAGCGCCGGGCACAGATTTTGGGGCATCCCTTAGGCATAAAATGATTGGTCCTGGATTAGAAAGTTGGCAGGAAGAACGTGTGAGCGGTGCTGTGAACCACTGCCAGGGTGGAATGTGGGGGTGAAGGGATACCTTCAGTCACTGCAGTGTTTGTGAAATGAAATGGGTTAGAAGGGACCAGAACAGGAAGACAAGCTA